AAAGCATACACATCCGAAGGGATGGAAATAAGAAATGTTGGGCTTTGTATTCTTCCACAATTCATAAGGAGTCTTACTCAAAATAGGTCATATAGAGATTCTATTTTGAATGTAATAGGTTGTGTTTACTGCTTCTTCCCAGAAGTGCTTAGCCATTTGAGTTTCTTGGATCATAGTGCGAGCCATTTCTTGCAATGTCATATTTTTCCTCTCTACAACCCCATTTTGTTGTGGAGTTCTAGGGCTGGAGAAATCATGGGATATGCCATTAGAATCAAAAAGTTTTTCAAAATCTTTGTTTTCAAATTCTCCACCATGATCGCTTCTAACTCTGACTATTTTGTAATTCTTTTCATTTTGCACTTGGGAGCAGAAAAAAGCAAACACATAATGTGACTCATCCTTGTGTTTTAAGAATTTTACCCATGTCCATCTGCTATAATCATCAATGATGACTAGTCCATATTTCTTACCATTGACAGAAGTAGTTTTCACTGGTCCAAATAAGTCAATGTGAAGAAGTTCTAACGGCCTAGAGGTAGAAACAACCTTTTTATATTTAAAAGAGGTTTTTGAAAACTTTCCTTTCTGATATGCTTCACAAAGAGCAACTGAAGTATATTTCAGATTGGGCAAGCCTCTGACTAATACAAGCTTATTTAGTTGAGATATTTTTCTCAAGCTAACATGGCTCAGACGTTTGTGCCAGACCCACTGCTCTTCTTGAACAGTCCTAAGACATTCTACATTCTGATTTTTCAAATTTGTTAATCTAATTTTGTAAATATTGTTCTTCCTATTACCATTAAACAAAACTAAGCCATCTTTCTGACTAGTAGCTTTATAAGACGTTTGATTAAAAATGATGTCATAACCATTATCACTAAGTTGGCTAATTGACAAGAGGTTATGCATCAGTTCCTCAACTAAAAGAACATTGTTAATAGAAGGAAGTTTAGCATTACCAATAGTTCCAGAGCCAATGATCTTTCCCTTCTGGTTGCCTCTGAAACCAACGACTCTCCAGACTTAAGTTCCAAATCTTGGAACATATGCCTTTCACCTGTCATGTGTCGCGAGCATCAATTATCTAGATACTATGACTGGTGTCTCAATGGCGCCATCAAAGATATATACAACATAGATTATCTGATCCTTAGGTACCCATTTTCTGGGTCCTTTATTGTTAGCAGTTCCAGAGGTTCTAACACCTTTGGAATCTTGTGCAGCAGGATAATCAAGTGGAATTTGTGCATGATATTTAGGCTTAGAAGTTTTCTTCTGTGTCTGTGGTTGTGTTTCAGTAGAATCAGAACCTTCTTGTTCTGGACATTTCAATTTTATGCCAGTAAGCACGAAATGTTCAGAAAGAGGTTTTGGTTTGACACTCAGAGTCTCATCAATTACTTTTGATGGTCCTGAATATCCCAATCCTCTACTTTTGTTTCTGCTAACTCCATAAATCATTGAAGTCATCTTGCTTTTAGCTAGGAAGTGCTGAAAAGATTTATCACATTTGATTACTTCATCAATAATAGATGTGCTAGAGATAATTTCTTCTTCCAACCTTGAAACTTTACTTTTAAGAGCAAGATTTGATTTTTCTAAAACAAATAATTTTTCATTCAAATCATAAAGGTTTTGCTCATTTTCAGTAGAGTTCTCAGAAGTAAGCGCAAAAGTATTTTTCAGAGTTTTGTATTTACTTAGAAGAAGTTGATATTTTATCATTATTTCAGATAAACATGTTTCAAGTTCAAAACGAGAAAGAGAAGCCATTACCCCAGCATTATCTTCAGAGTCTAACTCATCATCAGTTGTTAGTTCGTCTTCTAAGATAACTTTATTTGTGCTTGTATTGGCCATGAGTGCCACGTTAGCATGTTCTTCATCAGATTCTTCCTCTTCTAATTCTGAATTATCCCATGTTTCCATGAGACCCTTCTTTGCTTTGAAGACTTTCTTGGGCTTCTTGTCTTTTCTGAGCTTTGGGCATTCGTTCTTGTAATGTTCGAGCTCTTCGTACTCATAGCACGTGACTTCTTTTCCAGAAGCTTTCTTCTAACCAGGTGTAGATTCAGATCTACCGTTTGTTCTTCTTGGTCCTATGAACTTACTTTGTTTGTGTTTCTAAATCTGGCTAATCCTTCTAGATATCAAAGAGAGATCATCTTCATATGAATCTTCTTCTGCTTGAAAAGCCTTGGTCTTTCCAGACTTAGAGTTCAGAGCCACATATTTTACTCTTTTCTCAGGTTCATCTTGTTCAAGCTCTATCTCATAACTTCTTAAGGAACTAATTAGCTCCTCAAGACTAGTATTATTCAGATCCTTTGACAGCTTCAAAGAAGTTACCATTGGTCTCCATTTCTTAGGCAGACTTCTGATAATCTTCTTAACATGATATGCGGTAGAATATCCTTTGTTCAGAATCTTGAGTCCTGCAACAAGAGTCTGAAATCTTGAAAACATAGTTTCCACAGATTCGTCATCTTACATTCTAAAGGCTTCATATTTCTGGATTAGGGCCAAAGTCTTTGTCTCCTTAACTTGAGCGTTGCCTTCACGAGTCATCTGAAGAGAATAAAAAATTGACATTGTCGTCTCTCTATCTATGATCTTCTCATACTCATTATAAGAAATAACACTTAGAAGAATTGTTCTCTCTTTATAGTGATTTCTTTGAACCTTCTTCTGAGCATATGTCATTGCACTTGTTGCAATCTTTAGACCTTTATCATCTACTGGGTGAGTGTAGCTATCAACTACCAAATCCCATAGATCCAAGTCATATCCCAAAAAATAACTTTCAATTATGTCCTTCCAATAGTCAAACTTTTCTCCATCAAACATATGAGGTTTAGCAATATAATGGTCTCTATCATTATCCTTATTATCAACAGTTACAATAGCATTGTTTGCATTGTTTGCCATAGTTTTTCAAACAGTCTGGATCAGTACTGAACACTGTTAGGTGCTTGATAAAAATTCAAACTTTTTATCACTCCTCAGAACTATACTCTGAAACCAACTGAAGGTGTAAAAAACACAAAAAATGGGGGTTTGAATTGGGTTTTAAACCTTTTTTTTTTTTTAAATCCCCTTTAACATAAACAAGTTTTCTTCACTTATTGAAATAATGATAAGATGTAAGAAGGAAAGAACAAGTTATGTTTATACTAGTTCCTTGAAAACTATCAAGCTAGTCTAGTCCACCCGCCAAGGTTCTTTCGCCTTTCTCAACAAGGTCTTAATCCAATAATCACACAGATTATTACAATGCACAAGCTAACTGCAAGTGACTAAGATTACAACCTCTAAGACACATTAATCTTAGACTTCTTAAGGATTCTGACCAACTGGTCCCTTAAGGCACAATCAAACAATTGTTTGAATACAAGTTTGTTTACAAAATATATGCTTCTACACAAGTGAATAAGTAAACATAGTTTCAAGAATATAGAATAAAGAAATAAGAAAGCGTATGAACAGTCTTGATAGAATGTGAATTAGCACCATTCCCTCTTAATCTTCAAGCATTTATATAGCCAATATAATAATATAACCGTTGGAGGGTATTTCTGGAAATTCCAGAAAGTTGGAACCTTGAATAATCACGTGGGGATAAGATCGTACACAACGCCTGTCCTTCATGGTAGTGGAATGAAATAATTTTTTTGTATCATGTACTTTTGTACCACGTAATCTTATCCTTTTTTTCTTCTGACGTCACAGGCTTCTGAGCATGCGTTGGAAGAATGAGAATAACACTTGGGTCTTTGGAACTTCAAGTCTTCCGAGTCTTCAGAACTACTTCTTCACAATCTTCATCACTTGGTCTTCAGATCCATTTGTAGAACCTTGGGTTATCAGAACTTCAAGTCTTTAGAGTCTTCAAAACTGCATCTATCAGAATCTTCAGCACTTGATCTTGAGAACCGTTTGTCTTCAGAAACATAAGTCTTCAACATATGGACTTCAATTAGAACTTTTGTCTTCAGATCTTTAGAACTTGGTTTCTTGGACTTGTATCAGAGTCACAACTTCATAGTCTTCTGAAGCTTTCGCTACTGTTCAGCAGAACTTGTGTAGCTAGAAACAGAACTTATTCTCTTCTAAAGTCTTGGCAGCGCCTTTCATCAGAAGCAGAACCTGTTTGTTAAATCTTAAAATAAAAAAAAAACATTAGAGTACTAAAATTATTCATACAAACATACTCATTTTTTATCATCAAAATTCAGAGATATAATTGCATAACCAAATCTTTTTATAACATCATCAACCATGATTCAATTTCCAACTCAATAAAAAATTAAAGAAAGAACCGTGAGAAAAGAAATTACAGAGAAAAACCTTTACAAGATTAAACCAGTTTGCACTTGTTTAGAAGAAAAAGCAGTTAAGAGAAAAACAGGAAAATTAATAACAAAAGACTGGTTTAGAAATTCAAAATTCCTATCCAACCTGCATAACTGGTTTAGAATATCCAAATTGCTTCAATCCAAGTTTTAGTTCAATATATCAACAAAGAAAAAATATCAAAAGAGGGAATAAGTTGGAAACAAAAGAAAATCAGAAAAGGATATAACTAAAACAAAGGAAATCGTAGGAACAAGTGAGAACAAAAATTGCAAGCTCATAACCGTTCAATCTCATCCATCCAACTCCTATAACTAACTTCCCATCCAACAGTTCAAATTCAATTATCTTATAACTAACTTTTCTAGATCAAACAGAAAGATATAACAAAGTTGATACCTGAAGCAGATTCATTCTTCAATCTCTGGGAGATTCACCATAAACACTCAGAAAAAGCTCTCAAACTTCATCCTTCAATTTCACTCTTCTCTCTGTATCCATCCTCAACCATTTTCATCATCGAATCTTCATTTTCTCCATATCAACCTTCAAAAACAATTTCATCATCTTTATCGCACCTCATCAACCTTTGCTTCAATCTATACGCATGAAATCATCAACCTTTGCTTCAATCTATACGCATGAAATCATCAACCTTTGCTTCAATCTATACGCATGAAATCATCAACAACCGCGTCAAATTTCAATCCTCATTAATCTTCAAATCACACGCAACTTCCACATACTTCTCATTCTCTGCGTTTGCGCATCAAAAATTCACAACAACATCAACACCACGAGCACACAGAAGTGGACAAGAGAAGAAAGAGGATTCAAGGAAGAAAGAAGAAAGCATAATAGAAAGGGCGAAAAACTCATATGTGATCCAGATTCTTGTGGCTTTTCTTCTTTGTTCAGATTCAAGAGGATACCAGATGAATCGAAAGTAAAGAGAAGGATACATGTTCAGAACTTTGAGACGAAGCAGAATATGGCGATTTGACTCGCCACAGAGCATCAGCTGTTATGGTTATCATCAGTGCGCCAGTGTCTTCATTTAGTTTTGAAAGGAAAAGAGGTGATACAGAGAGAGTCACGGCGGCAGAATCGTCGAAAAAATGAAGAAGAAGTTTGAATCGCGTTGTTGATCAGAGGAAGAGAAAAGAGATTTTGTTCGTAGAAGCTGACCAGTCACTTCTACACGTTATCTCCTTTTTTCTATCTTTTTTTAATTTCTCTCTCAATTTTGATATAATAAAAATAAGAAAACAATATGATGAATGTAAAGTGGACCGAGTTCTTGGGCTTTGGCGTTGCTGTATACTCACTCAGGCCCGTGGCATGCTTTTTTGGGCACCTTGAAATGCTGCCTTGACAGAAAAATTCTGATTGGAATCTCACCTATTGGAGCCTAGCATTTTTCTGGACATACACCCTGATCCAGACCTTGTACTTCCTGTTGTATTCATGTGCTATTTTCTTGTTAATTCATGTTTTGTAATTTTTATTTTAACAATTGTTTGTGTGATTTTTTGATGATTTTGATTGATTTTCCTCACGATAAAATTATGAAAAAAAAGTAGAATATTTTATAACTCTTTAGGATCTCTCTTTAGAATCTTCATTAGAGTTTTCTATTATTTTCATGTTTGATAATCATTTTTGTTGTCATTATTTGTCAAGATCTTGTGATAGTATTGAGGCAATCTTTCTCGGGTATTAATTTAATTGACTATCGGTAAGGCTTCTGACATCTTATTGCTTGCGTAGACCTTCTCCGTTAGGTATCCCTTGGACGTTGGCTTTACCTCTTTCACGCAACATTCTAGGATATTATTGATTGCTAGAAGCATATAGCGTAGTTGCATATGAAGTTCTACGTTGTAGGCATTGGTTTTATTCGTTGTCATTTTGTTGAAACGGTGAGTCACTCAATCAGAATTGAGATCACGACTTCGCTCTTATTTGCATGTTCCCTTAGGATTATTATCCTTGCCCTTAGGTCCACCTTTGCATTCTAACTTTAGATAGGATTTCTCTTCAAAATCAACTCTAGGACCACCATTGCATGTCAACATTAAGACTTTAGTCTCTCTTAGATTTTGCTTTCTTTTGCATTGCATTTAAGACTAAAACTTTTTCTTGTTAGAAAACTCCAAAACACTTAATAAACACGATACATGTGAATACACCACGAGTCTTAAGCACACGCGGAGTACTTTGTGTTAGAACAATGTTTGAATCTACTACCCTACGTTTAAGTTTTGATGATAACAAAATGAAAAGATATATTATTTATATGATTCATGTATGAACTATCTGCTACCTAAAATATTACGTTCTACTTTGCATAAATTTTGATAGGTATAAGCAAGAGCACACTTAATCAGCATCAGAATTTAGATTGTTGACATCAGCATCAGAAGTTGCTATATCAGAATACCAGAATCAGAAGATTAACTCGCGTGTATGCTGAAGCTTGATGAACAGAACTGCGCTCAACACTCTGATAAAGAAAACAACAGTTCATCAGCAGCTAAGCAGAGTCATAATGAGCCAAGCCAGAACATGCATTAAGTAAGCAACGGTACTGTGCATTGAAAGCAAATTATTACCAACGGCCTCATTCCAGACAAGATCTGCTCAATAAGGAAAGTTTGTTATTAGCATTGAATCAAGAATTTTGCTCCAACGTTCAAGAATCTCAGTGCTATATAAACAAGACTATGAAGATTGAATTGGCTAATGCTCTCCAACTCTTTACACGCCTAAAAGCTGATCATAATCTTCCTTCTCTCAGTTTGCTAAACACTACACATCTCCTTAATCAATCATTGTTTAGTAATTTAGTTTCATAAGCTTAAAGTTATGTATACATCACAGTTGTGATACAGTTTTGTAGAAAACATCCACACACTTAGATTTATCTTCTTTGTAAGAAAGTGTTTCCTTGACAAACCGGGTTGTGGTTTGCATCAAGAAGGCTTTAGCAGTTGTTAAAGCAGTTTGTAATATTCAGTTGAATATAGTGGATTAAGACCTCGTTGGAGAGAGGCGAAATCACCTTGACGGGTGGACCGGAGTAGTTTGAGATCAAACGAACCAGGATAAAAATATCTTGTTCATTGCATTGATTTTCAGTTTTACAATTCAACCCCCCCCCCTTCTTGTGTTTTTCACTACTTCAATTGGCATCAGAGCGCCTGGTTCTGAGCTAAAACACTTAACCGTGTCAGTACAAGATCCAGCGTCAGAAAAACACAATGGCAGGAAACTATTCTCACACCAGCAATGACAACCATGAGGACAGAGACAGATTCAGCGGCAAACCTCCAGTCTTTGATGGAGAAAATTTTGATTACTGGAAAGACAGAATTGAAAGCTTCTTTCTGGCACATGATGCTGATCTGTGGGATATGGTGACAGATGGATACACGCACCCTGTGAATGCAAGCGGTCAGAAGATTGATAGAAAAATAATGTCTGATCAACAAAAGTGTGACTTCAAGAATCACCACAAGGCCAGAACCATCCTCCTCAGCGCCATCTCCTATACTTAATATGAAAAGATCTCCAACAGAGACACAGCAAAGAACATTTTTGACTCACTCAGAATGACGCATAAGGGCAACGTTCAGGTCAAAGAAACTAAAGCTTTGGCGCTCATTCAGAAGTATGAGGCGTTCAAAATGGAAGAATCTGAATCCATTGAAACAATGTTCTCAAGATTCCAGATTTTGGTAGCTGGTCTCAAGGTTATGGACAAAGGATACTCTACTGCTGACCATGTCAAGAAAATCATCAGAAGTTTGCCCAAGCAGTGGAGACCAATGGTTACAGCTCTGAAGCTAGCTAAAGATCTCAACAAAATCACTCTGGAGGAACTTATCAGCTCCCTCAGAAGTCATGAGATAGAGCTAGAAGCTGACGAGCCTCAGAAGCAAGGTAAGCCTTTAGCATTAAAATCTAACAAAAAATCTGAGTCTAAAGTTTTGCAGGCAGTTGAAGAAACATCTGATGGATCCTCATCAGAAGAAGACGAACTCTCCCTCCTCTCCAGAAGAGTAAATCAACTGTGGAAGCAAAGACAAAGGAAGTTCAGGAATCCCAGAAGATTTGATCAGAACGAGTCTTCTTCCAGATACAGAAGGACAGATTCTTCCTCTGGATACAGAAGATCTGAAGGCTCCTCTAGTAGCAAAAAGCCAAACACCAAGGACATCATCTTCTATGAGTGCAATGAGCAAGGACACTACAAGAGTGACTGCCCAAAGCTTCAGAGGGAAAAGCCCAAAAAGAGGTTTGGAAGAGAGAAGAAGAAAAGTCTCATGGCTACATGGGATGACTCTGACTCGTCTGAAGCTGACTCAGAATCAGATGATGAGAGAGCCAACATAGCTCTCATGGCTAATATTTCAGAAGACAGTGAAGCTTCTGAATCAGACTCTGAATCAGACACTGAAGAGGTATTTCCTGACTTTGCTGTTAATTTTACCAAGGCTGAACTTGCTGAAAGCCTTAATGAGATTCTGGAAAGGTATCAGCAAATTAGAGTTAAATTCAGAGACCTGAAAAGGAATCTTGAATCTGACTCTAATAAGACTGAGAGTCTCAAATTGGAGAATTCTGAGCTGAGAAATAAGATTTCAAAATTAGAAAACACTTTACAAAACTCTCAGAAGGAACCAATTTCTGAAACTCCCAGCAACGCTGATGAGATCATCAAGGAGTATGATCACAGTTTCCAAAAGTTCCTTGCTAAAAGCATAGATAGAAGCAAAATGGCTTCAATGATCTATGGAGTTAGCAGAAACGGCAGGAAAGGAATAGGACACCAAGGTAAGGTTCCTACACCTAAGAATATCATGGACTTAACTATTAAATTCACTCTTCTGAATTCACATTTTGTGTATGGTCACACACATGATATTAAATACACTAGTAGTAAGCACTCTGTGAAACCAAAATTCAACCAGAGTTTTGGTAAATCTAACAAATCAGGACCCAAGAAAATCTGGGTACCTAAGGATAAAATAATACATGTTGCAGATATCTTTAGCAGCAAGTCAGAAACACCAGTCATGGTACCTGGACTCTGGCTGCTCGCGACACATGACGGGAAGAAGGCATATGTTCCAAAGCCTGGAACTTAAGCCTGGAGGCCACGTTGGTTTTGGAGGCAATCAGAGGGGAAAGATAATTGGCTCTGGAACTGTAGGTAATGGAAATCTTCCCTCTATTAATAATGTTCTGCTAGTAGATGGATTAATGCATAATCTGTTATCCATAAGTCAATTAAGTGATAACGGTTATGATATAATCTTTAATCAAAAATCATGTAAAGCTGTTAGTCAGAAAGATGGGACTATCCTGTTTAATGGTAAGAGGAAAAACAACATTTACAAAATCAAACTTTCTGAACTAAAGAGTCAGAATGTAAAGTGCCTTCTGTCTGTTAACAACGAGCAGTGGATCTGGCACAGAAGATTGGGGCATGTTAGTATGAGAAGAATATCTCAGATTAACAAACTCAATCTGGTCAGAGGACTTCCTAATTTGAAGTTCAATTCAGATGCTCTGTGTGAAGCATGTCAGAAAGGCAAGTTTGCAAAACCTTCTTTTAAATCTAAAAATGTTGTTTCTACCTCTAAGCCATTAGAACTTCTGCACATTGACTTATTTGGACCAGTTAAAACTGCTTCAGTCAGTGGCAAGAAGTATGGGTTAGTAATCGTAGATGACTATAGCAGATGGACATGGGTAAAGTTCTTAAGACACAAGGACGAGTCACACTCTGTGTTTGTTACCTTCTGTAACCAAGTTCAGAATGAAAAGGATCTTAGAATCGTTAAAGTCAAAAGTGATCATGGTGGAGAATTTGAAAACAAAGATTTTGAGTCATTCTTTAATGACAGAGGCATTCTGCATGATTTCTCTTGTCCTAGAACTC